ACCTCGTCTTCTAGATATACCCAGTTTAATGAATAAGTTTGCAGGAGTTGGGGTGGTTATAGGACAGGTTAATGGTTAGCATCCTAATCCTGATCCGGATGGGATTGGGTTGTATACAGTTTTTACCAGTAAGCAACATGATAGGGTTAGAATGAAATTCCAACCATCAATTGACATCAGTACTAGATAGGTGGAGGATATATTTACATTCCAAATAATTAGTTATTTGTGTGATGTGTAGCTTCTTGTCATAAAAAAAATAAAAAAATAAAAAAAACTTTTCAATAGTGAAAGGTTATTTTTTGGGAACAAGAACCAAAGGAGAAAGGAAACTTGAAGAAGTAGACCTTTATTGTTTAGAGGATCAAGATTTATTTGTTTTGGAGTTTCTTTTCAGGAAAGAGATGGGTAGAAGAATGAATTTGGGTGTTGCTTTTAGCATGGAAGTGAAAGTCATTTGGGAACATATGAAGCTTTCCTTCTCTGTGACGAGACATAGTTATAAAAATTCTTGTTTCCAGGGTTAGATGCTTTTTTCCTTTTAGTGACCGTTTGTTGTTTTATGTACAGGAAGCTCATTCCTCCTTTCCGTTCATGCTTGTGCCAAAAGTTTATCAACATTTAAGTCAAAAGAGAGTTCTGACTATGGAGTGGATTGTTGGTGAGAGTCCAACTGATTTACTCTCTCTGTCTGCAGCTGGAAGCCCTGTTGACAGTGGCTCTACATATTCAGAGAGGCAAATACTTGATGCCAAAAGACATCTTCTTGATCTGGTCTGCAATCTGAATTGCAAGATTCTACTTCGCTTAAATTCTTGTTAATTTCAGATTCCTTGCACAATCCAAATATAATAGCTATCAATGTTGACAAAACTGACGTGAACTCTGAGAGGATAATGAATTTGAAATAATGTATGTTGGCAAGAACATACAGGCTCGAAGGCACTGGAAGGTGAAACTTTGGGGCCAAAAGAACACTGTTATTTAATAAGAAAACAGCTTTAGCATGAGGCAGTGAGATTACACGTTCTTTCTACTTTAAATAAACTGAAAGTTGCAAATCTTTTCTTGAGTAAATAAAATAACGCTATAAATGTGGTTTCTGAATTTAGTGAATTAGTGATTCCAATAAAATAAGATGTTGAAAAGATGTTGAATTATCCTTCTAAGTGCTTTAGTTGAGTGACAGATCATTGTGCTTTGAATGTTGTAGGTTAAGAAAGGAGTGGAGGCATGCTTAGTTCAGCTCCTCGAAACAGGCTTATTGCATGCTGATCCACATCCTGGAAACTTGCGTTACACATCCTCGGGACAAATTGGGTACCTCTTTGGTCGCCATTATGCAGAACTAAGCTTTACTTTCTATATCAGAAGATCTAGGTATATATCTATAGCTCTTATTCACTTGTGGTGATTTCTATCCTATGCCAGGTTTTTGGATTTTGGCTTGCTTTGTCAGATGAAAAAGAAGCACCAATTTGCTATGCTTGCATCCATAGTGCACATAGTAAATGGAGATTGGGAATCCCTTGTTAATTCTTTGACTGAAATGGATGTTTCAAGGCCAGGGACTAATCTCAGGCGTGTGACTATGGTATCATCAGCCTCTCTGTTTTCAGTTTTATATATAGTTTCGGTATATTAAATGTTATTTGGGTTACTGAAAAATATGTTTTTATGGAAAGCAATGAGATTGTACCGTCTTTATAAGTATAGGGTTTAGGATCTGGAATATGAACTGGGAACTAATTGAGCTGTAAAAATGTTTCAGGATCTGGAATATGAACTGGGAGAAGTAGAATTTAGAGATGGAATTCCCGATGTCAAGTTCAGTAGGGTGAGAATCATGTCTTGATCTCAATCTGTACAAATGATAGACATAATATTTCTTGGTGCCTATAATAATAGTTAGTAGAGGTTGATTGTAACTGTAATTTTTCTGAAGGTTCTGAGTAAAATCTGGTCCGTGGCCTTCAAGTATCATTTTCGCATGCCACCTTACTATTCGCTTGTTCTACGTTCTCTTGCTTCATTTGAAGGTAGGGTTCACTTGCCATAGGGTATCAAATCTCATTTACTCATATTTTTTGTATCTTTATTCTTTTGGACACTCGGTGGGCTGTGTTAATTTGCCATACATCACTATCCTGTAATATCAAGATACTGATGTATGATCGCTATCTAGATGCCCTGGATGCCTCCATATAGTTGTGTCCAAGCCTTATCAGAACTTGATGTATGATCACTTTAAACGTGTTTTTTCTGTTTTCCAGGATTAGCTGTAGCTGCAGACAAAAATTTTAAGACATTTGAAGCTGCATACCCTTATGTTGTTCGGAAACTTCTCACTGAAAATTCAGCTGCGACAAGGAAAATATTACATTCGGTATGAAGTGCTCAAGAACCATAGGCTACGCTGTTACTTTTTGTGGTTTATTACATGTCCTACGGCATTCCAATCCATATCTATATGCACATAGTAATGATGACCACTTTGTTTGTTCCTTTCTTCGCATGCGTATAAATGTAAAATCTATTGTGTAAAACATGTTAGTTTAGGCTTGGTAGGTATCGGTATAGCACATACAGGAAACTTTGGACCCTTCATTTGATTTCTTTCATGATTCTGATTAATGAAAAGATAACTTGTTTGATGATCAAAGGCATTGGGGTACTTTTTGAAGGACAAAACTGTACGTTATTATGCTAATCATCATCACAATGGGATGCCTGAAATTGTTTTCATCTTGAATGAAACTTCCGGTCATATTTTCAGCATGTTTGTTGTTTATTTACTTTGTTCGCTCGGTTCAGGTGGTTTTTAACAAGAAGAAGGAGTTCCAGTGGCAGAGGCTCTCTCTTTTCTTAAAAGTAGGTGCAACTAGGTATGTTAACTTGTATCTCTTAAGGTTAATTTCCTACAGTACAAGTTTATCTTTGTATATGTCTTGGAACTTTGAGAACTTTAAAATCTTGACCAGCTAGCTGATAAACTTTTGCACGCTTCTGTTGTGGATGTTCGTCGTGCACAGCTACCTTATCCTTCATTACCAAACATAAAATTTTCATGTTTTTTACATTTGCTTGCAGGAAAGGTTTACATGAGATCATAGCACCGGAAGTTGATACTTCCGTCAGTTATTTACCATCAAGGGACGGTGGTGCAGTTGATGTTGCAAATTTTGTCTTGAGGATTTTACCATCCAAAGATGGTGTTGTGCTGAGAAGACTCTTGATGACTGCAGTGAGTTCCCTTATGCTGGGCGCTTTTCTCCTTTGTATTTATAATATCATAACGGTCAATGACTCTCTTTGTCAAAATTAAATATAAAGACGAAATTCTAATGCAGGATGGAGCTTCACTGGTCCAAGCAATGGTATCCAAGGAGGCAAAGGTATACCGCCAGCAGTTTTGCAGGGTCATTGCAGATGTTCTATATCAATGGATGTATGCAGCTAATGGACGGGGCATTACAAAAACTCGGTATAGTTCCGATCTGAAAATGGCAGGCGGGCCTGAAAACAGAGAGAGAGGTCCATCTTCCAGAGCTCCCATTTATGATTATCGTGCCATCTACAGAGATCGGCGACTGAGAGTGATTGTCTCGAATGTGCTTAAGTCTGCAAGGAAAAGTCCAATTCTAATGCTGAGGCTCTATTGGACTTCCTTCGTCATGTTTGCCACAGCGTTCGCTCTGGCTTGTCATCGTGCTTTATTATCCTTCGCCGAAGACCACTTAGGCCCGATATCTTTTGCTCCAAAGCAATATGCCATCCAGTGATGTTCATATTCAACTCTCCCACAGAGCCATTTTCAAAGAAGATAAGAGTGGGCTTCCACTTACAGCATTCTTTGGAGCAAATATGATTACACCGGTCCATTAGATCTTCGTCTTCTCAGCGTTCGTTGTATTTACAAAAACGAAGCCAGAAATGAGAGGACGGAGGTGGATCAAAGATGGCATTGCAAGCTGTCGAAAGGTATAAAACGGCGAGGTATGTCCACAATCCATATGTAACCTAATCCGTATAGCCATCTGCATACACATTGTCTGTCAAGTGGTGCGACGTTGGAACGTGTTTTAGGGTTGAAAGCATCAGATGGGATGTAATGTAAGAGATCTCGGCATCTCATTAACGCCGTCTGGAATTAGAAGCTAGACAAAACAGAGGATTCTTTTCCATGTTGTAATACATCTATTTTTTTTTGGTTGGTAGTTGACATGTGAAGTGATATTCCAATCTCAGTATTCTTGTTGAATGTTTGTAATCATAGGACTGTTGAGCAGAAAATATCTCTTGCTTACGACCTAAGACTTCTCACCTAATACCACTGAACCGTAATGCTAACTGACTGAAAATATTCATTTGAATCTGACCTTTTTGCATGGAACACGTGAAAGATTTTTTCAAAGTTGTTTCAAGCATTGTGTATTATTTGAATATGACATTTTTGCATGGAAGATGCGATTACGAGATAGAGGCTGAAGGTCGAAAGGGTAGAGGAATACCTAGGAAAACTTTGGAAAGACTTGGACTACTTGGATTTAACAGAAGACATGACACAAAACCGAGCACAGTGACGTTCTAGGATTCATATAGCTGACCTCACTTAATGGGATAAGCCTTGTTCTTGTTGTTGTGACATTTTTGCATGGAACACATGTGAAAGATTAATTCAAAGTTGTTTTAAGGATGGTTATGTTGATGGATAGGGATTCGATCAATCTCATAAGCGACGATATAAATGCTCTTAACCATGCGATTTGATCACAAAATCTGGTGAGCTCGTATCAAAAAATCATAGAAAAACAAACTGCCCAAATTGAGAAAAAAACTTTCTTGCAAGATATGATTTAAAGTGCATCACTTATGCAATAAACACTTATCATATGCTCAAAAATTACATCATCCGTCCAATACACGCTTGCCACATAATTTCTTTGATTACGGAGTTTCTCTCCTATTTTGTACAACCTTGTAACCTCAATCCAAGTACCCCCTTTATGAAAAAACCAAAGTAGCAAGCCAACTAAATTAGGTCAGTCCAATTTTAACATTTGGGGGAAGTAAACTCCAAAGAACCCATTTTTATATTTAATATTCACCGGCTGATCAAACACTCCTCCTCCAATCGGGCCGATCCGCAATCCTTACGATCCCAAACCTTCCCTCCACCCAAAATCCGATTCTCCGATCTCACATCGCCGCCCAAAATCGACCGGGCAAACCGACCGCCGCCCATGAGCACTCCATCACTCTCAGGGGTAAAGCTTTTGAATTTTCTTCAATTTTCTTCCGATTTTCGTTTTCCAATTCGAATTTTTTACTGTGGGTGTTGCAGAGCGCGGGTGCGTTCTCTGGGTTCACTCGGCTATGCAAGGGCTTGGCGGTGGTTCTTATTGGAGGCCACATTGTGGTTCAGCTTCTCCCTCACGCCGTTGATTACCTCGCTCTCATTCCCGCCAGGTATCTTTTTCTCGGTACGGGCACCTGCACCGTTCGATTTTGGGTTTGTTGACTTGTGAATTGGGAATTTGCTAAAATGAATGGTGAAATATTGCGTAAATCTGTGTACAGGAATGGGTTTTGTGAAAATTTTGTGAAATTTAGCGTTTTGAGGCGTTTGGTTTTATGGGTTTGATCTGAAAGCCAGCTCCGGTTTTTCGTGCCGCTTGAGTGGCGTTGGGAGGTTGTAGCAGGGGATGATGATGTTAACTCTTTTTTATATTTGTATTACAATTTACAAGGGATGCAGTGTATGGGTTGTATAGGATCACAGACTTCGTTTTTGTGTAGATTCTGTATTTCCGAAACTTAGAACTTGATTTTCTAAGTGAAGCTTAGCGCCTCCTCCTTTAATTTTTTTAATCAGATGCATTGTTAGGCCCGGTTCTGTGTATGCACTCTATGCTCCTTGTTCTTTGGGTCTGTTTGGGTTTCTTCATTGGTCTTAATCTCTGTGCTTTTATTATACTATGCTTTATTTTTTATTCGTAAATTTGTTTAACTGAATTCCAGTTGAGCAGGTTTATAATCAGACTATGTTGAGGTTTACATGATTGATGTTGCATCCCTATGTGTGTTCACTCTATCTAATGAAGAGTGAGAGCAAGCTCATATTTTTGAATTTGGAACCTCTAACTTAATTCTAATCCAACCTTCTGCTTTGTAGGACGATTCCTTTTGTCTGGAACCTCATTACATCCGGTTACATTGAACAATCAATATATGGGGTATGCACTTCTGATTCGATAAACAATTTTTCTGTGATGTACTCGTATACTGGAGGAGGTTTCTTGACCCGCACTTATTTAACAGGTTGTTATCAGCACTCTTGGTCTTCTTTTTATAGGGAAGCTGCTTGAACCTGTGTGGGGTTCTAGGGAGTTCTTGAAGTTCATCTTTGTTGTTAACTTCCTAACTTCCATATGCACTTTCGTCACTGCTATCGCTATGTACTACATTACAATGACGGAATTTTACCTGTAAGTACTAAGAAATAAATTAAACGTTCAGAAAAATAAAAAGTTTTTCCAATGCTGGTTCATGTTTTTGTCCTTGTTTTCATTTCTTCCTACATTTTCAGCTTTATTGCTTCTGTCTACCTCAAGGTATTTTGTAGCATGTTGGTTTATTTGAAAATGGAAGTGAATGATGAACTTGGTAAATTTGAATCCAACTCTAACTGCAAACAAATGTTTAAACAGATCATTCTGCAACTGTCAATGTGTGTCTTCCATTGTTCATCTCGTACATAATAATTTTTGTACATTTGGTAGCCTAGTTTGATCGCTTCTTTCATCGCATTCTGAATATTGTTACTTTATTTGGTTCATTTGTGCTAGATATATGCCTGTTTCTGGCTTCCACGGAGTCCTTTCAGGTTTCTTAGTTGGCATCAAGCAAATCATCCCCGACCAGGAGTTGCCGTTGTTGAAAATAAAAGCTAAGGTTTGGACTTCTGAGAATGACCTTTTATGAAAATTTCTGCAGGTTATTGAATATTCTTAAAACTCTGTTTGGTGTTGGTTTCAATCGTGTGCAGTGGTTACCATCTATCTCGCTATTGTTGTCCATTGCCATAAGCTTCTGGACAGAAAAGTCAGCAACACATCTTCCAATCTTAATATTTGGAACCTATACTAGTTGGATTTACCTAAGATACTGGCAGAGTAAACCAGAAACAAAACTCAAGGGTGACCCAAGTGAAGATTTTGCATTTTCTACATTCTTCCCTGAATTTTTGAGGTACATAATCACCATTATTTTCAAACTCTTCAATTCAATATGGAATATTCATAGTTTCCATTGCTCTTAAGTGTTTCTTGTTATTTCTTGCAGGCCAGTCATCGATCCTGTTGCATCTATATTCCATCGGATGCTCTGTGGAAGATCTGAAGCTTCCAATGAATCCCAAGGTTACACCCTGGGCAGTACGTCATTGCCTGGATCTGACCCCATTGAAGCATCAAGAAGAAGGTAACATTTCTGGTCTCAAACAGCATCCAGCTTGAATGTTAAATGTTACATCTCCGAAACAAAATTGATATGTTCCTTGTTCGGATGAACTGTGGAGGGTAACCTTCCCCTCATAAATCACACCCTTACTGTTTACACAGGCTTGAACATGGGATCTTTGAACCCCGGATCCTTAAGGATGAATACATGCCACTAGATAGCCAACATGTTATTAGCTAAGGAGATTAATAATCAAATAATTGGGGAAAAAGATATTCATTTTTGTTGCTGTTTCTTGCAGAGAAAGAGGTGCTCGAGCTCTCGAAGAAAGATTGGCAGCTGAGAGGCTGGCTGCAGCGCACGGAACAGAAGAGTCAGGAAGAGATGCCGCGGAGAATGTTTAATTGCTTGGGAACTCGTGTCGTTTCTGTTCTTTGAAGAGGAGGCTTTTCTATTTTTTTCTGTGTGTTCCCGCTCTCCGTAGAAATTCGAAAGAGGCACGCGATGTGGATCTCTCTTGAAACATTTGGGGCCATTTTTTCATGTTGTACAAATACATCTTCTAGCATATATATATATATTTGTATCTTGGATTTAAAAGGATGCTTGTTTGATGGGACGCTGTTTATTCCTGATTTAGTCTCAATACAAACACTCATTTGATAACCTTTGACTTTCACATAATTACAACTTGCCACTCCCTCTCTTCTACCGGAGAAAACTTCCTCAATTAGTATACCAACCTTTGTTCCTGGCATCGCTCTTCAGAAAATGGAAAACCCTTTTCTTCCTCGTGGCTTGTCACATAACCAGCGGCACATAAACCTCCGTTGTGGCAGAAAGACTTGCATGACATGAGTTCATTATCACGCGACAAATGATCGCATTGTTATGGTCTATACGAGGATCGTCGTCAGACGGCATTTTTTTAGTCCAGAGGTATAAAGAATCACTACACTACATCACTATCCACTACCCAATAGACATGGAGAAATGCTAAGGGGACTCTCTCAAAAGACAGACTCTCGATAGACTCTCTGTCACCTCATAGTTTAATGTCAATTCTCATGCTAAAATTATAAAACATTATGCAAAAAACTTGAGGTAATAGAGACTTCATGGAGAGTCTCACTTTTAAGAGAGCCCCCTTCGCATTTCTCAGCATGAATAGGAATTAGAGATATCAGCAATAAACCAATTGGAGAAGTTAAGAAAGATGCGGGAATGGTGCCTCCAGTCATTAGACAAACAGTTTTCACCTTCATTTGATTCAACCAAATTTACAACTTCTTATTGTCTTTATATAGCAAAGATATCAGAGAGGACAGGCAGTATAAACAACTTGGCCAGGGTTTCCATCAGCCCGGGATTCCATGAGAAAAGAAACTATACTTTCCGTTGCAGAATTTCACCTCACCAGAGCTGCACACAAATCAGGGGCCACATGACAATTTTGTCATCTGTCGTGAGTTCTATGTACAAATCAGCTCTCCAATGATTCTCCAGCAAAGTACTGTCGGTGGACCATTTTTTTGTAATCTGTAAAAGAAAAATATAAGAACAAGAGTTGTATAAGAGGTCTGCACAATCCAGATCAGGAAGAATAGGCACTTCATCACTGGGCATCATATTTCATGATGTTCAACTACGAAACATTAGTTTACCAGGTCGACATTTTACAGCTTGTGGAAAGTAACTATTCTCATGGTGAATTCGTAACCTACAAAGTCTTGAAATTAGGATGGACTGGAAGGTGGTTGAAACAAAGAAGGACATCTAACGATAAGTTTTTGAATCCCAGTTTAAAAAACATTTGATAAGAATTATAGGGAGTAACTAACCTTCCTTATTACTCCACAGTGCAGCAGCATAGCTGTTGAGGGGACTCTCCGGGTTTGGCTCTGCAGGTAAGAGCTAAATGGTCAGACAAGAACAAATGAAATCTATGAGAAAGTTCAAGCATATAAGAGCAAGCTTACCTCCCAACAGACTTTGAATGGACAGAAGTATAGTCCTGCAGTCGTATGCTGAAGACCACTTGTCCTGTGCCACATATAGCAAAGAACAATATAAGCTTTTTGAAAATACATGAAACTGAAAGAAAGGGAACTCAATCAACAATAGACTCATAGACCGACACTATCACCCCACTCCATGATAATAAAATAATATTTGTATTCCGCAACCCTTCCATCAATGTTCTCAAATTACCCATATGATCCTGATCTAATTTTTTGTTTTTATTGTTCTGCATAAAGATGGTCATGGCAGCCATGAGAACTACTCTGGCTGTTGTGACGTTGTCAAGGTTGGCACATTCATGTGGGCACCGCAACACCCCTGGGTAAGGGGCACTGGCATACTGCCATCTAAGCAGCACTCCTGAATCAGGGCATTTACATGTGGGCAACCCCCTGAATGGAAAAAGCATCACAATTCGAATTATGAATTTTCCAACTGATACTAATTTATATAGCCTCTCTCTTCTACACAACTATGTGAGCAAACATTTAGATTTATCCCACCGATACTAATTTTCCATAAGGTCCCTCATGTAATCGTATGGTGGACCAAATTCCTCCATACAAAAAACACTGTGACCATCATATGGTCAATTTAACTTCTCCATATTACAGTCATAGACAGTTAGCAGTTTATCCTATTGGGGTTTAGTATCTCAAAGCTTGATATCAGTTTCTTTATTGTAAATGTAACGATAGATACCTGCAGGATATCAAGACATATGTTGCCAAACTGATCAACATTTGGATGGAAGCACATTGTCTCAAACTTGACTTGCGGCGGCTTGAAAGGATAGTCCAGAGGAAAACGCAAAGAAAGCTTGTACGATAAACCCTCATACATGGTTCCTTTTCCACCTTCGATTGTGCCAACCCATGCAAAAATGCTCTCGCCTTCAGGAAAAGCCGATACGCCAAGATCTCCTCCACTCATCTGAAAACAAGAACCAGTAGATGTTGAACAAACAAATGTCAGTAATACAATAGTTATTAGTCTCATAACAAGAAATACGGTCATGAATTCATCATTAAAATCTGTCTAGTAAAGACTAAAACTTCAGTGTCAAGTAGACTACTATTAGGCCTTAAACTTCAAGACGATATTTGGCTGAGAAAATTTTTCTTGATTATGCTTCAAGTTTTCAACTTATGAACTTAAATTTGAATCCACATAGAACCCAATTCAAGATTTCAACAAAAATCAACAACGACAGCAAGAAATCAAAAACATAAGTACACAAATTTGAAAATTTGAGGAAAAATAAAAAACAAAGAATTGAGAGAGAGAGAGAGAGGGAGCATACCATGAGAGACATCAACTCCTTCTGAAGCCTACGGCACAATTGAAGCAAAAGCCATCTGAAGTTAGGACTTGAATTTTCTCGGGATCCAAACAGAAAACTAAAGAAAAAAGGACTGACCTTTGAGAAACGGAGGTGGTGTCGACGGGGATGGAAGAAGCAGCAGGCTTTTTCTGACTAGTTGCTGCTGTATGGCTCTGACTCTGCTGGTGCGTGGCCGACGAGTTGTCGGCCGTCTGATTGGGTCGGACCTCCATGGCTCACGATGATCAATCGCCTCCTGATCGACGGTTGCTATTCAATATCTGATTTAACGATTTCTGGTAGCGGTGGTGGCGACGATGAGGCTGTCTTTCTGTATTTTCGTTTCTTTATCCTTCTTTTAATTCCTTCTATTGAGATTTTAATGGAGGCACGACTTTAACTGTTGATGACAAGATTATAATCACACCCCATAATAGTTTATAGTTTAATCCAACAAAAATGATATAATTATAATCTAAAACAAGCAAGAAAATTTTGATGATGCAGACAACACTAATAAAGTGATTTGTTAGAACATCATTAGGGGTGAGTCTGCCTTATTAATTAGAGAGTTTTATTTTTTTTTTTAAGTATCAGCTAGTAGTTTTGTCATGACAGTCCACTTTTTTAACGATCATGAAGACTCATAGATGCATTTTAGTCATCCATAACCACTATCGTGTGATCCATTAGCACAAAGAATTTAATTCATGATGTATCATGTGAAATGCGAGTCTGAATTAGCACAAAGAATTTAATTCAGGATCTACTATGTGAAATACGGATCTAAATTTGTTCCTAAACTACTGAGACACACCGTGATGATTATTAATTAGATAGTTTAAAATGTGCTTAATTTGATCTCAATTGAGAGTTTAAGGTGTGTTCTCAGTCTCACTTACTCAACATATATTTTTATGTATTGTACTTAATTACAAATTCAACAAGTTAAAAAAAAAGTTAGACTTAATTAATAAGAATATAACATCAAACCTTATAAGTTAGACTTAATTAATAAGAAGATAATATCAAAAATTTGATTGGAGGTGGTGTGCAATCATAGCAATCACCTAGTTGGAATACGATTGAAAAATATGGTGATGTGATCATTACGAATCTTTTGATGCCATATATCCATGCAAAAGGATTTTTTTTTAAATTAAAATTGAAGCATTTAGCAATAATTGTGAATTAAATGATAATATACAGGGAACTGGATCCTCTCATGAGCTCAGGATGGAGATCCTCCTAAGCAGCTTATTCAAATCGTTGAATTTTGATCAACAGGGATCTCTCTAAAAGTTATAATAATTGCAACCGTTTGATCAAATTTAAACAATACGAATGAGCTGCTTATGAGGATCCTCGTCTTGAGCTTTCTTTTACAGTTCCATCTGAAGGGACAGAAAGTAACCTGAGACTAAAGTGCTTATTACAAATTTAAACATCATATCAATCAAGCATCTTAGTAAGTGGAATAATCTGGGGTAGGAAAGCCAAAACAGTAAAAACATAATTCAAACCCATAAAATGTTACGTTCATTCATGTTTGTGAGCGTAAAGTATCTTTAACTACTTATAACTGTTGGAAAATATTTGTATTTTGATTTATTTGAAGGTTTGGTTTTTTGAGTTTGGTCCGTTAGCATTAGGGTTTCGGTTTCTTACCTTTTAGGGTTAGAGTTAGTTTATTATAAATACCATGTTTGTTATTCAGTTGAGAAATAAGCCAATCACAATGTAGCTTTTAGGGTTTTGTAGCCGTTCTGGCATTCTAGTTTGTTTAATAATATTTTTATTATTTTGTAATCTTATTCGTTGCACACTCTGATATTCAACTTGGTATCAGAGCAGGTTTGATCATTAGGGATTTAATCTGCTTATGTTTGCTCGTATCAGTTGGTTTGTTTTTGGATTTCGATATTAGTTGTTGGTAGTCTAAACTGGATTTGGAGCATCTGCATCCTTCACGAACCTACATCTCACAGCTTGATCTGCACCTTGACTCGGGTCGTACCCTCATCGACTTCTACGATTCGAATCTGTGGCAACCGGTATGAAGTCTTGCATTTTTACTTTGCACTGGAGTTGTTTTATTTGCTGCAATCCCTTTCCTTATGCTCGACTTGGTTGCTGCATGAATTGAAAAAAGGCCCAGCAGGAGGAAAGAAGGAAAGGGAGAAAATTTAAAAAAAAAAAGGAAACAGAAGAAAAAAAGAGGAAGAAGGAGAAAATAAAAAAGGAATAAGAAAAAAGAAAACGTTGGTTCTTTGTTTGAAGGCCCACACGAGCAGAAAGAAATATATGGTCTGTTGGTTGGATTTTTTTATTGTTTATTTGGAAGTTGGTATTGGCATCGGTATTGATATTGGTATCAGTATCAGCATCGGCATTGGCATTGGAATTTGGAGGCTTGCATCCACATCTGCTTGTTGGCAAACTCATGTCGTGTACCGCCATGAGTTTGACCGGGGGGGTGTTGGAAAATATTTGTATTTTGGTTTATTTGAATGTTTAGTTTTCTAGGCTTAGCCCGTTAGCATTAGGGTTTCGGTTTCTTACCTTTTAGGGCTAGGGTTAGTTTATTATAAATAGCATGTTTGTTATTCAGTTGAGAAATAAGTCAGTCGCAATGTAGCTTTTAGGGTTTTGTAGCCGTCCCGGCATTCTAGTTTGTTTAATAATATTTTTATTATTTTGTAATTTTATTCGTTGCGCACTCTGATATTCAACTATAACTTTTAATATTGTATAACACTCACACGTGATTGATAAATCAAAATCTTGGTTTCGCCCCTGCTTTACATCCTAACTTTTGAGATGAACTCTCAAATAACAGAGACATATCTTAATGAGCGAGAACAAAGTGAGGGAAATGAATTGTTGAAAGAAGTATATTTTTAGTAAAAATGAAAGTGTGTAAAGTATATTAACCATAGTCATTAGTGATGACATGGTTACTTAGTAATGAAGAATATAGTTAGTTGAAATGTGTTGGTAGGTTGTCGTAAGGATAAGATTGGTTAGTATAGTTAGAAGGGTATTATTGTAATTAGGTTATATGGCTATATAAGGGATTGTATAGCTATCATTTCCTTAAGTTCTTTTGTATACATTTTCTCCATTTTAATCAATACAATCTTTCTGGTTTTTCTCTCTATCATCTTCATCTTTCTTTGTACCAATTCTTCATCTTTTACAATGTAGTTAATATGGTATCAGAGCCACCAAGGCTCACGCCATGGATCTTGGTGGTAGATTCCTCTTCTCTCATTACTTTCTATCTTTCTTCATTATTTTCTTTTGTTTTCGCTTATTTGATTAGTGTTGAGTGTTTAGCTTTGGATCTGGATTTTTTTTTTCCGCCGAGGGTTGTGTCCATCACGGCACCACTACTTGACCTTCACATGGAAGACGTCGGTCTTCTCCCTTCAGCACGCCGTTCTTTAGAGCTAAAATTTTGGCGGGGAGCAAAATCGAAGTTCACCCATGATTCTGCGTAATCTCTACCAGAAAGAAGCTATGGTTGTCAGTATATGGTGACTAATTCGCCTGGGTTTTCATGAAGATCTACATAGTTTCAGAAATTGGGGATATGAAATTCAAAAGAAATTAGGGATTTGTGAGAGATTTGGGCTATGAACAGAGTGTCGGTCAAAATCTGGATCGTCAAAAGATTATGGTGCCGAGATTCATCTTCTTTCTGCTATGCAAATCTCGATTCGGTGGTGATTATTTCTGCTTTTCATCTGGGAATTTCTCTTCTGCGTTGCTGATTGAAATGTGGGATCTTGGACTCTGTCAAGTTTACTACCTCTTCGATCTTGATTCTTCCGCTGTTATCGTCTTCAAGGGTTGTTGCAGAGGTGCACAGTTGGAACGACGGAGTGGCAGTCTTCGTGAATTGCTGTTGGATGTCTCCGAAATCAGAGTGTTGGATTTTTCTGGGTTTTCTGGGTTTTCAAGATTCAAGTTCTCAGGTTTTGTTTTCGATTACTGGTTTTCTTTCCAGCATATCAACTGTTTGTGATAATGTCTCGGTGAGAATTTTCTGGGTTTCATGTTCATTGGTTTTCTGCGATTGTTCTGGTTGCGTATTCTTGTTGGGTTGATCGTTCTTGGGAAAGTCGTGTAGCCGCCTTGTTGACGACAGCCTTGCCGTCGAGTCACTCGATCTTGGCGGAAGACGACGATGCATGAGACTCTGTGTGACTGAGAGCAGAGTTTGCTTTCTTTGCACTGTTGATTATCTATTTCTTCATTCATCTTGGTGGTGTTTTCAGAGCAGTTTTCTGAATTCGATTTTCTGTGATTTTGATCCGTGCTCTGTTTTCTAGTATGGCAGAACGTTTAGACTATGTGCAGCCTAAGTGTTTGACGAATTGCCCATATTTTCTTCATCTGGGTTCTTTTCTCGAATTTGATTTGGGATTTTGGTTATGTGTTCTTCTGAATTGGTAAATGCATTCTGGTATATGGGTTGTGCGATAGATCATCGAAGTGTTGATAGCAGTCATTTGGAATTGTTTGGTGATCTGCAACGCTTATTTCTTGAAGCTGTGGTCTTTGATGTACTTTCGAGGTTTAATTGAAGTGAAGCTGTGGTCTTGATGTGTTGATCTCTGCAAGTATTAGTTTTCTTGTCGATTTAAAGAAGAAAGTGTCATTCTTTCTATGAATCTTGGAGTTTCATTCTCCTAAGTTGCAGTATGATTTGGAGTTTCATTCTCCTCAGTTGCAGTATGATTTGTGTTCATGGAGTGTCAGTCTCCTTATTTGGTATTTTTTAGTAGAAGTTTGAGATTTGTGTTGTGCTTTGGAGTGTCATTCTCCTTGGCTGATTTAGTTTCTTGGAGTGTCATTCTCCTTGGTAGATTTAGTTTCTTGGAGTGTCATTCTCCATGGTAGTTTAGTTTCTTGGGAGTGTCATTCTCCTTGGTAGATTTAGTTTCTTGGCAGTGTCAACTATGGCTTCTCAGTTCACAGTAAAAAATTTGTTGGGTATGTTCAGACCAAGACCACGAAGCACAGCTCTTTCTCCCGCAACCATCATGTACTTTGGAACATCATGTGCCATCACAGAACCACCACCAATAAATGAGAAATAGCCAACATGGCAGAATTGATGAACGACAACAACCCCTGCATACATCTTGGTCTTGCAGTTCCAGATCAGTTTCAGCGTTCTAGCTCGTTCAACCTTCACTTGGCTACACCAAGTTCAGTTTAAGGGGGGAGTATTAACCATAGTCATTAGTGATGACATGGTTACTTAGTAATGAAGAATATAGTTAGTTGAAATGTGTTGGTAGGTTGTCGTAAGGATAAGATTGGTTAGTATAGTTAGAAGGGTATTATTGTAATTAGGTTATATGGCTATATAAGGGATTGTATAGCTATCATTTCCTTAAGTTCTTTTGTATACATTTTCTCCATTTTAATCAATACAATCTTTCTGGTTTTTCTCTCTATCATATTCATCTTTCTTTGTACCAATTCTTCATCTTTTACAATGTAGTTAATAAAGTACAATGTGTGATGCCTGAAAGAGCAAAAATTTCACATTACCATCATATGCATCTGCAGTAAACTTTTCTACGTACAATACAATTGAATGGAAACATCCTACTCCTAGCCACTATATACTGCTGCAATGCTCAACCAAATATAGTGTACCAAAATAGGAAGGAAAAAAAGAGAGAAATAAGAGGTTAGCAGCATGTTCTATGATCCAACTACATCTACTTGTTCAGTTGCCTTTTCCAAATGAAATATCAGATGAACTAATGGCAACTTCATGCTGAGACTGGGTACGACGAACTGGAAGAGGAGATCGAGGCAATTCCGTTGAGCCAGGCTCTTGATCCAGATCCCTAACGTTGGTCTTTTGCCTAATCTCATCCCCGTCACTAGCTCCAACATTGTTGTTTGGTGAATGTGAGGACCCTTCAGTGCCCCAATGACCCATTTCAAGGTTTGATCGCCTCGGAGATACGTAAAATTCATCGTCATTGCTGCGGTAGTTGTGGTTGTGCAGCAGATGAACTGGGGACGTGCCGCGCGTGGGACTTGGCGGCATGCTTGAGAATGGGGTGGTTGAAGGTGAATGGTGGCTGTGATTTGTGTTCTTTTTGGCTTTGTGGTGCCAATCTTTCAGTGCTGCTGCCACTCCCTCATTGAAAACGGTAGGTTTCATGGTCGAACCCATCTGTTTGATCAAACAAAACAAAGTAAATCGAAGTTGAATCAAGGCTTCATCACTCTAGTACCCCCTGGAAAATCAAAACGAAGCGAGATCATTTTTACCTGAGTTACTAGAGCATAGAGAGGCAGAGTCACATAACTGCATAAAACTTGTACAATGACCCTGTGGAGATCACCAATTTAGTATTGTGTGCACTAGTAAAATATTTGTGCTCATTGAATAAGTTTGTCACGCCCCAAAACCCCGAACACACGTGAGAGTGTCATGTACAACCGGATCATCAAGCTACGTGCTGCAGTCACATGTTCGGGAGTTTTGGCCGAGATAGAAGTAATCGCAGGTCATATAAGAAAGTGAAAGTTCAAATATTGATTAGTGTGTAAAGCTCAGTGCTCACCCGAATGAGAGCCTGACGACAATGTCTTCAGTGCTCCGGTGGAAGCAAGAAGTTATCCCAAACTCATACTGGAGGAGAAAAAAAGAACAATTGGTTACGATATGATACGCAGATAGACGAGGGGGGTTTTTTCCTCCAATTGCTCGTGAAGTGTTTTTGTATAAAACTTCTTTTTAATTTGCTAAATAAAACTGGATGTTTAATTAAAAATCTTAATTAGAGAGGAAATGTGCTTACTGTACTCCATGCAAAGAAGGCCATTTGAAATGCATTCTGCAATGAAGAGGAAAAGATCACAGAAAAGCAGTATGTGAGCATATAATATCAGTGAATTGAAGAATTGTACACATGAAATTTCGATGCGTTTTGATGTACCTGAAAGAGAACAAAGTGGAGGAGATAGAGCATGAAGCGGGGGCTTCCGAACCAAAAGAGGTGATCGCTGGGTTGAACAAGAGGTGCACCCTTTACCACATCCCCTCTCTCCTGAATCCTCAGCCCCATCTTTGTTATAATCACTTGTAGTTTGGTTCCAACCGTTAGGACTATCTGCAAGGTTTTTAATTACCATCAGGATCTTCTTTGTTGCTCACGACCTTAAGGCCTCGTTCGGTGTTTAGGATTGGATAACTCACTACCCACCAGGCGCGGCCTAAATGTATGTAGCATGCATGAAACTTGAATGATATATTTTATGTGGAACTTACAATTAAAGGGATGGTTGGTAGCCAAATATAAGAATACCATCCTGTCCAAAGAGGAAACAATTCTTGGTCAGTAAATTAAGGTTCATCACATTTTCGGAATCAATATGAAAACGTAGAGATTCACTATAAGTTTATAACGGTAGAAACAGATTAGACCAAATTGACCTTTTTTTTTCCTTCAAAAATACTCAAGATGTATGGGAATCAAATTTGCACTAAATCACGGTTAAGCAGATTGAGAGCCTTGTCAGAAAAGTCCATCAATGGATTTATCAAAAGAAAGCTTAATTGATTCGGTTCATCGTGAGTACTCCGTTAGGTTACAATCAAACTGAGATTCGTATCCAGATTAATTCCGAAGAATATCTCACTTACCATAAGTGTTGGACAGCAAGAACAGCACTGCAGAGAACCATATAATTGGACTGCATTAATCAATGAAATAAAAGTTAGGTTTATAAGACAAGTATTTGACTGAAGAACCTAACGAGTTTAGATGCTTCAATTAAGAACACCAACCTGATCCCCACAATAACTTTGAAATCCTCTTCAACTGATCTGTTTATGTACTTCTGAAAATCAAATGTTGACTCACTTCCTGGTGCCAAATGTGCCTGAAATCACAGCGCATAGAAATTGAATCCCTTTACGACCGGCATCAATCGCGGATGCAAAAAACTTGGGCAGATGTTGGACTCACCATGATAAATCCATGCCTCAGAGTTAAGTAATCAACCTTTGTAACTGAGTGGAAAAATTGTCTAAAGAAAGAGACCTGAGGAAGAAAAAGGAGAAACAATTAGAACACCCTTAAATCATGCCCAATCCAATGTCCTGATTCCTGAAGCCCTAATATTCCAGGCATTATTTGAACTTCATGTTACAAGTTCATTGACAAGTGATATATAACACAACCGATAATGCTTTTGCAGAAAATTTCAACGAGGATTTTTATGAATAGACTCGAAACTCCGTTTCATATTAAATAACTGTGAACACGGAAAATTCCTGAAACGAATGAGACAAGAACAACGACGTGCACAAACAAATATTTGTATTTGATGATTTTTGGGTTACAATCTCTCTCAAATTTGATCCTCTGATTCGATCTCCGTAAGGTGTTGATTGGTGGATGTGCGATTGATCCCAGGGCCGTCGAGGCTTGATCTTGGATGAACTGTTGGAAGTTTCTTCAAAGGGCCGTGGGCTTGATCTTTGAAGGTGTTGATTTGTGGATGTTTCGTTGATCCAAGGGGGGGCGTCGAGGCTTGATCTTGGATGGACAGTTGGAAGTTTCTTCAAAGGGCCGTGGGCTTGATCTTTGAAGGTGGGTTTGAGCGGATCTTCAAAGGGGCTTTTGGGCTTGATCTCGAAGAACAGTGATGAACGGATCTTCAAGGGCTTTTGGGCTTGATCTTGAAGAACTGTTGGATGTGTGGATTTGTCGACGTTGTTGATCCAAAGGGCCGTTTGGGCTTGATCTTGGATGAACGGATGATGAACGATGAACAAAGAACGAAGAACGCTTTCTTCAAGGGCCGTCGGGGCTTGATCTTGAATTGGTGGATGATTGTTGATCCAAAGGGCCGTTGGGGCTTGATCTTGGAAGAACGATGAACAAAGAACGAAGAACGCTTTCTTCAAGGGCCGTCGGGGCTTGATCTTGAAGGTGGATGATTGTTGATCCAAAGGGCCGTTGGGGCTTGATCTTGGAAGAACGATGAACAAAGAACGAAGAACGCTTTCTTCAAGGGCCGTCGGGGCTTGATCTTGAAGGTGGATGATTGTTGATCCAAGGGCCGTCGAGGCTTGATCTTGGAAGAACGATGAACGAAGAACGAAGAACACTTTCTTGATTCTTCGGGAACCTGGATGCTTGAGAGCTTCGGAGTTTCAGAGCTTCAGAGCTTCAAGGTGTAATATCAATTCGTCCTTAAATGAATGAAATGGGCTTGTATTTATAGAATTTTCCAAGGCCTAACTTTGAATATAATATTCCAGATGAAATAAGTCGTTTCTGCCAGGTGTTGACACGTGTCCTATTTGATGACTTTTCCAACTCATTTCAATTTTCGTTGAGTCACACGCTACGTGTAAAATTTATGTAATACATGAGCGTTGACACTTTGATTTATCGGTCAACATTTATTTACCGAAATTTCGATGTCTACAAATGCCCCCACTTCAAGGCACGTCGTATACATGTGCTTGTCACGTGTAGGAGATGCGTTTTGAAGTCCCTTACTGTAGATGTCGATCCAAGGGCCGTTGAGGCTTGATCTTGAATTGGGCTGGAGATTTCTTCAAGGGCCGTTGAGGCTTGATATTGAATTGGGCTTGAGATTTCTTCAAGGGCCGTTGAGGCTTGTTCTTGAACTTTTGTTTGAAATTTCTTCAAGGGCCGTCGAGGCTTGATCTTGAAGGTTGAAATTGGGCCACAAGGAGCTTCATGTGGTAGATGATATTTGGCTTTGGTAGTGGATGAATCGGCACGTATTTTGTTGCGCTTGTTGACTTTCCACAGCTTTGATCTTGAACTGGGTTGGAGGATTTTCTGGATTCCTCCAATTGTTGATTTTCCACAGCTTGTTCTTGAACTGGATTTGATTCAAATATGGTGAACGCTTGATCTTGAATCGGACTTGTGATTTCCTCAAGGGCCATCGAGGCTTGATCTTGAATTTGGCCGGAAACTTCTTCAAGGGCCGTTGAGGCTTGATTCTTGAAGGTTGACTCGAACACATGGCAAGCAGGCACGAGGTGAGGGTGACAACCTGTTTCTTTGTTCAATCTTTCTAATTCACACCTGAGCAGTTTGGTCAACGGTATGATCTTCAAGATTGATGGGCTTTTCTTCCAGTTGGTGACTTGATCTTTAAGGATTCGATTCAAGGGTGGTGAATCGGCACGTGCAGCCCACAACGCCTAGTAAGTCGACCCAAGAATTTGAGGGTCAAAACGAGTTCTTCATCTCAGACTCTTTCTGCCGAGTTGGCTGTGCATGCTGCATTCTTCTCTGCTTGTTTCTTCAGGCAGATATGGCAGCTTCTCGAGTTCCTCAGTTCGGACTCCTTCTGCTGAGTTGACTGTGCAAACCGCATTCTTCTCTGCTTGTTCCTTCTGCACCTTGTCTCCACATGCTGCAAGGTATCATTTTCACTTGCCTTATCTGTTCTCCAAGCAGATGTGGCAGCTTCTTTGGAAGTACAGCAGCAGTGCGAAACGAGTACTCGAGAGCAGTGCTAGGTAGGCAATCAGGGAAGGGTTCCAAGCAGTCGGTTCCTTACCCGAGTTTGAGTGGAAGTTCCGGCATATTGTTTTCTTTATCCTTGTCTTTGTAGGTAAGAACAAGGACAAAGGAAAGGACAGAGAGAACGCATGATATGAGATACTCTTGCTTTCTACCCTGGTGATATGAGATACTTTTGCTTTGGAGTCATTGGCTTGCAGAGGTACCCCAAGGAATAAGGAACACTGAATGACTCGAGAGGTTTCTTTGGGAAAGCATTTTTGGAGATGAAGAAATGTTATGTATGTCTGCCTTACTATGTAGGGTGAAGGTAGACAGTTTATATAGGAAGTTCTTTAATACTTGTAGATGTACTATTCTTTCACTCGTGTCGACAACTAACGCGTGATTGAACAGTAAAATTTCACGTGCTTTCTCCTTCACCGAAAATCTTCGACAAATTGCCCGTGATTTGCGCAAAGTTGAGTGTGCATATGACAGGTGATGACGAGGCTGAAAAGACTGGCGCCTCTTCGATATCTGGGATTGGCGCTTTAACAAATTGCCCGTGATTTCCGCAAAGCTGAGTTTGCGTGTGACGGGTGTTGACGCGTCTGGAAAAGCAAGATGCTTCTCCGATTTCTGAGCTTGCCTCTTCGATTTTTGAATGGCCTCTTCGAATTCTGAGCTCGCCTCTTCGATCTCTGAAATCCCGTCGAGTGCTGATTTTTTATAGAGGCATGCAGTTTGTTTCAAAGCACACTTGAATTTTCGCTTGTGAAAACTCCCCTCTTGCACTTCTAAGATCTTGATTTGTCTGATCTCTTCTTCCTTCAACACTTTGAAAATGTCTGGACCCTCCGACCGTCGTTTTGACTTGAATCTTGGTGAAGAGGCAGTCCCGCCTTCTCCAGACAACATATGGCGCCCATCCTTCATATCCCCTACTGGTCCTCTTACCGTTGGGGATTCGGTGGTGAAGAATGATATGACCGCTGCGGTGGTGGCCCGAAACCTTGTCACTCCCAGAGATAACAGACTACTTTCCAAACGGTCTGATGAGTTGGCTGTTAAGGATTCTCTGGCTCTCAGTGTGCAGTGTGCAGGTTCTGTGTCTAATATGGCCCAACGCCTATTTGCTCGAACCCGTCAAGTTGAATCATTGGCGGCTGAAGTGATGAGTCTCAAACAGGAGATTAGAGGGCTCAAGCAGGAGAATAAACAGTTGCATAAGCTCGCACATAGCTATGCGACAAACATGAAGAGGAAGATTGACCAGATGCAGGAATCTGATGGTCAGATTTTACTTGATCATCAGAGGTTTGTGGGTTTGTTCCAGCAGCATTTACCTTCGTCTTCTGGGGCTGTACCGACTGCTGAGGCTTCAAACAGTCAACCTCCGGCGCCTTCTCTTCCTGGAGCACTGCCGAGTTGTGAGGCGCCACCTGATCGTCCTTGAATATCCCCTCTTGTAAATTTGATTTGATTTGATTTTTTTTTTTTTTTTTTTTTTTTTTTTTTTTTTTTTTTAGGTATGTATAATGCAAATTTATGTAAAATTTCCAGAAAAATAAATAAAATGGACTTTTATTTCTCTTAATGTTTTTTTTTTTATTTTTTTTTTATTTTTTTATTTTTTTATTTTTTATTTTCCTTTCTTTTCCTCTGTTTTATTTTTTTGCACATGGTGCCTGAGCACCAAATATCAAACAATTCTTTTCTTTAATCATGGTGCCAGACGCACCTCTCCTTTTTTCACGTGGTGCCATCACCACTTTGCTCCACCATCCTTTTTTTTTTTTTTTTTTTTTTTTTTTTTTAATATATTTTTTCTGTATAAATTTGGGTAGTGGGTAGAGGAATTTGCAGGGAGCGGAGCTCGAGTTTGAGGAAGAGCTTCTCGGCCGGCTAGTCGTTTGACAGCGGTCTTTGAAGTTGTTGGCAGCTGCGAGGCAAGAGACGGTGGAGGTGGAGGTGACCAGGGCAGCTGTGACGGACAGAGACGCCATGGCAGGACCTCGAGGAGTTTTAAGATACTGGTGCAGGTACTGGTGAGGATGTGCAGGTTCCTTGGATGGTGCAAATTATTAGATGGAGGCCAAGCGCTGCGGTGGAAGGAGTCGATGCCGAGAGCGCAGCCCAACTTGCTCCGGGTGTGCGCACCATATACAGCAGGTGGGGTTTGGTGGAGATTCAGACGACGCGGCGACAGAGTTGGCACCACCTTCCAGCATCTCGAATGTGGAGCTCTAATGGTGAAGAGGGGTTGGGCTGGATGTCGCAGAGACAGCGGAGATTGATCCTTGGAGAGCCTGAGCTTCTTCCTGCACGTCTCGCCATTCTTTTCGTCGCTGATGCCACGAGAGCCGTCTCTCTCGAGGTCGAGATCCTTGCCGTTGGCGTCTCTCTCGCTCCGCCTGCTGCTACTCTCGACACGGTGCTGTTGGGGAAGGATGATCAGCTAGGAAGAAGAAGCTGGGTTGCTGCTTCCATTGCTGGGCAGCCGAGGAAGAGAAGTGGAGAGCTTGGAGTTTGACGCAGCCGTGGAGGAAGAAGACGGAGGAGTGGAGTTCGTGGCGTATGCAGGAAGTCTCGGCCTTGAAGTGGATGAGGGTACGACGACAGCAGATCCACCATTTTCTCTGAAAGCTTTACGGAGCTCTGACAGAGAGAAGATCCTCAGCAAATCCCTGTCGTCATTAGACCATTTCAGCCCATATACCTCAGACTTGTGGCCAACAGGCTTGCTGATGTAATTGTCTGGGACTCGAGGATCATGTTGAAGTATGTTCCGGTCTCGGCTTTCTGAAGCTAATATGCGCGAGTTCCACGCCAAAATTCCAGTCCTTGTTTGGTGCCTACCCATCGTTCGAACCCTCTTGCACTGCATCCCATCCCGAACCTGGACTCGACCAAGACTTGTGCCAATTGACAAGTCTGACCCCTCCCGTGTCCGTTGGATAGAGCACACACCGTCATTAGGCCTCAAGTCACACAATTTTGTCACCTTGCTTGTTTGATGTACTCCAAAGATAAACACTGGTGCCGAGTCAAACTGCCAGAGCATTTTGGGAAGACCATTCCACAAGGTTCAAGTAAAAGTCATCTTGTAGTGATGGAGCATCCAGAACCTTATGGGGTGTCTTGGGGACCTTGCGAGGAGGCTTGAGAGGACGATGATGATGAGCATGGATGGTCGGGGAACGGCAAAGACAGGATAAAATCTTCAATCCGACCTCGCCCTTGATCTGAGAAAAACACTCTCCGTTTCTCCAGTATCAGCTTTGGAATGCGCCCAGTAGTAAAGGCTTGACCCTGCCAGTGACAACAGCGTAAGAACAGTGCCGGCGGCAAACATGCCCTTGCGCAGAGTAGCACAGGACAAGTCATCTACTTTGAAGATTCCCCGGTACTTGGTGTGGTATGCATTCTTTGCCGACCCAGCCAACAAGCACGCCTCCGCTCCCAAAAAGGTTGTCCAGGAGAAGACGAAGAAGAAGACGGTCCAAGTGGTGGAGGAGCCAGTGACTAGACCTTTGCCGCAGCAGAGACACCTGGTGACGACGTTAAGCACCGTCTGGCTGACGGCAAGCAGCCCAAACGCCGCTAGTCCGTACACCGTGGAGGCATCCGTGCCGTACACGCAGTAGGTACGCTCGTCGTACTCATCGGGCACTATCTTTGCCGTGCTACGGCGTCGTTCGGTGCCGACGGCGAAGATGAAGGCGATGAGATGGAGGGAGGTAACGATGGCGACTATGGGTATCGAGACTGCCATTGTTGTCTCTCGCTTTCTCAGTGGGGAGTGTGTGGGAAGGACTGGTTGGAGCAGTGCCTGGTGCGGATCTGTTCCAACGAGCCCGCGCTCCAATGGACGACAGATCGGAGTATGGAATCGATCCGCCGCTCAAGGTCGAAGGCGGAGTTGAGGCAGGGATCCTTGCACACCTGCAGCCACGGCTTGCAGACCAGCATCAGCGCACTCCATCGGTGCTCCAGGGTGAGATTCTCAGGTCGTCAGCGTCGGTCCGAAAGGAGAGCTCTAGTGATCAGGCTGAAGACATGGGGAAAGGAGCCAAGTGGGTCAGATTTTGTAGCCGGGCTCACGGTTTGGGTCTGAGGAGAGATGGAGATGGGCCAAATTTTGTAGCTGGGCTCAGATATGTATATATATATATATATATATTTTTTTTTTTTAATTTTTTTTTTTAATAATTTTTTTTTTTAAAGAAATTGTAATTTAATTTTGTACCAAGAAAATTGCAAGTAAATTTGTAATAAAATTGACCTTCATTAATGAGACTTTAATCAAACCCCCTTTTTTTTTTTTTTTTTTTTTAATAAGATTGACTTTCTTTAATAAAACATTTATTTATATTTTTGATGTGACTGAACTCGAAAAATTGAACATTCGAGCTGCCTACGTACCCCTCCAAAGAAGAGATCAAGTCATAACGTAGTTCAAAATACATACATATTTTTTTTTTTTGGTATTTTTCTTTTTGTTTGCCGTTTGCAGTTTCAACTCGTGCAGGCAAGGAGCGTTGGTGTCGTTTGCAGTTTCAACTCGTGCAGACAAGGAGCGTTGGTGTTGCCTTTTATGCTCGTGCAGACCAGGAGCATTGTGCCATGCAGTTTAGGCTCGTGGCGGCGAGGAGCCTTTGTGTCTTGCAGTTTAGGCTCGTTACAGGACAATGGAGCTTTGGTGAATTTGTCAAGCAATTTTGGAGAGGCGTTCCTCACAATCTTCATAGCAAGGAGCCTTGACTGAGTGATTGAAGAAGTCTTCGGGCAAGAAATCACGCATCGTGATGGGGATGGAAGATCTTATGTCGCAATTTCATCATCTTCAACACGTTCACGTTGCTTTGAAGGTTGACAAGAGCTGTTTTGCCCCCTTTTCCGATTGGCGGACTTGTGGAGGAGACGTATGCTTCTTGTGCAATTTCTTAGGAGTGACTTGAGTCCATCCTTCAACTTTGCTTGTCTTGGAGGATGCCCCCAGCGGTTGAGGTGTGAAAACTTTGAGTCGGAAGAGTCAGAAGTGAAGGTGGTATAGTTTGACTTCACCACATCGTCAAGATCTAGCTCGATGATTCCTTTCTTGAGCCAACTTCATGATGAAGATCTTTCAGCACAAAACATTTTTCTGTCGGATGACTGATGAAGCGGTGGAATTTACAGTACCTTGGACTGTCGGTGCGATTCATCTCTTCCGGCCGTCTGCACTCAGGCAAACTGATCACCTTCTTTGTCCAACAAGTCATCCAGCATGGCAACTACATCAGAGTCGGGGAATGGATAAATCTTTTCCTCAAGCTCCTTCAAAGTGCGTCTACGCATCTCTTTGATCACGAAAAGCCTTCGGTTTTGAATCGCCTTGCCTCGTGTGGAGATTTTGACGGGAGCTGTGTTGACCGTCATCGCTTCCTTGGTGGGTTTCCATGCAGCCTTTTCCACCTTTGTCTCAAGAACTTTGTCGTTCTTGTAGTTGGCGATCGGTTCCTTCTTCCCATGATGGGCGATGCTCAACTCCATGTCATGGGCGCGAGTGGCTAATTCCTCGAAGGTCCGTGGTTTAATGCCTTGAAGGATGTATTGCAAACCCCATTGCATGCCTTGGATGCACATCTCGATTGAAGAGGTTTCCGAGAGCCTGTCTTTACAGTCGAGGCTTAGAGTGCGCCATCTGTTGATGTAGTCAATGACTGGCTCGTCCTTCCACTGCTTTGTGCTCGTTAGCTCTAGCATGCTCACAGTGCGGCGGGTGCTATAGAAGCGGTTGAGGAATTCCCGCTCTAATTGCTTCCCAGCTGTTGATGGACTCAGGCTCTAGGTCTGTGTACCACTCAAAGGCGTTTCCTTTCAGCGAGCGCACAAACTGCTTGGCGAGGTAATCCCCTTCGGTTCCTGCGTTGTTGCAAGTTTCAACGAAGTGGGCAACGTGCTGTTTCGGGTTTCCCTTTCCATCAAATTGCATGAACTTTGGTGGTTGATAACCCCTCGGCATCCTTAAGGCATCAATCTTCTTGGAATAGGGCTTCGAGTAGAACAAGGAGGTATGTTGAGCTCCCTTCGTACTGTGCCTTGATGGTGTTGGTGATCATCTCCTTGCAGCTGCTGGATAGAAAGAGATCCCATGAGTGCCGCTGCTTGGTCTGGCTCCGGCTTCCCATCGATTTTCTTCACCGGGGGTTCTTCGTCTCCGCCAGCTCCTCCCTTTAGTGGATCATCTTCTGGGTCGGGTTTATCGCCGTCCTGCGCCTCCAGTCGGTTGACTAGTGCTGCAATTTGCAAGTCTTTTTCTTCCACAGTTCGGGTTAGCCTTGCGATTGCTTCATTCATTTGAGCCAGCTGCTCATCGATTGAAGTTGCTCCAATGGTCATGACTTGCATGGCTGAACTGTCGCTTGAATCGGCATCGGAGAGCATGGATTCGGAGTGTTTCCTTGGGCTTTCCCCCCTTGGTGCCCTTAGTGAGGCTAAGGTGATCAAAGGCTCGTGCCTTGGGTGCTTTGTTTCCCTTGGCAGAGTTGATGCAGAGGTGAAAGAGGCGGCAGAAGTAGCTCTTGCCATGCTTCGAGTCGTGATGCCCAAAGTGACACCAGTTGCGACGAGGACGCTTTTGTTCTTTGCACCGGTTGCGGGAACAGTTTGAGCCTTCCTTGATGCCATTAATTTTGGAAGTGTGCTTGAATTTCTTGAACGGAGAAAGAGATGAGAGGCAGAGATCGTCCCACCGAGCGTGCCAATTTGTGAACACGGAAAATTCCTGAAACGAATGAGACAAGAACAACGACGTGCACAAACAAATATTTGTATTTGATGATTTTTGGGTTACAATCTCTCTCAAATTTGATCCTCTGATTCGATCTCCGTAAGGTGTTGATTGGTGGATGTGCGATTGATCCCAGGGCCGTCGAGGCTTGATCTTGGATGAACTGTTGGAAGTTTCTTCAAAGGGCCGTGGGCTTGATCTTTGAAGGTGTTGATTTGTGGATGTTTCGTTGATCCAAGGGGGGGCGTCGAGGCTTGATCTTGGATGGACAGTTGGAAGTTTCTTCAAAGGGCCGTGGGCTTGATCTTTGAAGGTGGGTTTGAGCGGATCTTCAAAGGGGCTTTTGGGCTTGATCTCGAAGAACAGTGATGAACGGATCTTCAAGGGCTTTTGGGCTTGATCTTGAAGAACTGTTGGATGTGTGGATTTGTCGACGTTGTTGATCCAAAGGGCCGTTTGGGCTTGATCTTGGATGAACGGATGATGAACGATGAACAAAGAACGAAGAACGCTTTCTTCAAGGGCCGTCGGGGCTTGATCTTGAATTGGTGGATGATTGTTGATCCAAAGGGCCGTTGGGGCTTGATCTTGGAAGAACGATGAACAAAGAACGAAGAACGCTTTCTTCAAGGGCCGTCGGGGCTTGATCTTGAAGGTGGATGATTGTTGATCCAAAGGGCCGTTGGGGCTTGATCTTGGAAGAACGATGAACAAAGAACGAAGAACGCTTTCTTCAAGGGCCGTCGGGGCTTGATCTTGAATTGGTGGATGATTGTTGATCCAAAGGGCCGTCGAGGGCTTGATCTTGGAAGAACGATGAACGAAGAACGAAGAACACTTTCTCGATTCTTCGGGAACCTGGATGCTTGAGAGCTTCGGAGTTTCAGAGCTTCAGAGCTTCAAGGTGTAATATCAATTCGTCCCTTAAATGAATGAAATGGGCTTGTATTTATAGAATTTTCCAAGGCCTAACTTTGAATATAATATTCCAGATGAAATAAGTCGTTTCTGCCAGGTGTTGACACGTGTCCTATTTGATGACTTTTCCAACTCATTTCAATTTTCGTTGAGTCACACGCTACGTGTAAAATTTATGTAATACATGAGCGTTGACACTTTGATTTATCGGTCAACATTTATTTACCGAAATTTCGATGTCTACAATAACACTTAAAACACTATTTTGAAGAAAAACCATAAACGTTACTATTATTGTGTCCGACTGTTATTGCACTATACATGAGGGTTTTTTTTTTTGTTTTTTTAAGAAGCTTAACGCTGAGTTTTAAAGTTGACTTGTTGATCAAGAAACAAGGTTGAACCTCAGAGTGATATGTTACTTACAATACAGAGGGAGACTGGTGACTTGCTCCAGAAGTTCAAATGTCTTTGTCCAAATGATGTATCCCTTGCAAACCTAAACCTTTCTGGATCTGCAATGGAAATAATTGTGAAAAAAGAAAAGAAAAGAAAAAAAATGGTCAACAGAAAGATTCCAGAAAGATGATGTATTGAGGACTTGAGAGTCAATCTGGGCACCAATTAATCGTTCTTTAAGAAAGAAAAAACATGAACTAGAAAATTAATCATATGATAAAGAATGATTTGGATGCTTAAACCATTCATAATCTGGGATAGGGCCCACATAGCTTTGAAGTTAATAAAAGGGTTTGGTAAATAAATTAAATTGAAGTGAACTACAAACCATTATAGAACTGGCGGTATTCAATTGATTTTGTCTCTTTCTCCCAAACCTTCCATGTTCTCATCTGTAAATCCAAAACAACAATGAAAAGATGAGAGAGAGGGAGAGAGAGAGATTCCAAGACAGTAAAAAACTTGCTAGTTTTACCTTGTATCTTCCCAAACCCAAGGTAAGGATGCAGTAGAGCACATGAAAAACTGCTAACACAAAGATAAAAATATGGAGTTGGTGAATCCCATATGAAGACACAAAGGCTACTTTTCCCTGCAGAAAAAGTGCAGTCAATTATATCCAACTCACATACACATGGTAAAAAGATAATAGTAGCTAACTATCCCTTAGTTTTTACCTTCTCTGTGCAGTAATCATATCCTTTTACTGCTAATCTGCGCCTGGGATTGAAGAACTCAAGAAGTTTCCTACCATTCTTTCCAGATTTTGATGACTTATTATATTTGCAGGGATGCCAAGTGGCTCCAATACTTTTTGATATGCATATCTCAGAGATTGGTCCTTGCAGCACAGTTAGGAGCAAGGATAAAAATCCCAACAGCATAAGCTCTTCAAAGAATACAAAGATAACAAAGAAAATGGTTAGGCCATGAACCAAAATAACTCTTTATAAATCCCCAAAAAAAAGGAAAATAAATGACCACAATTAGATGGTTATATACCAGATTTGATCTTCTCAAGTGCTTCAACTAGAGCTCTCTTGTGTTTCCTTGCTAACCACTAAAAATGATGCAAGAAGAACAATAGCAGTTGCAAATTAGTCCCAATTCGGAAACTTGAGAGTTGCAGTATAAGTGGAAGGAGGAAACGGCGAAAGTGAAACACCACTACTTTTAAACGTTATTTTACTTATTCTGTAATTCAAATGCGGGGGATCACCCCTACTACATGCGATTTGATTGCATTTGTATGCATAATCTGTATATTTGAATTCCTCCAGAGATAATCTTAAATAATTTATGAATTGAGAATATTAGTTACCTTTCCTATGAGGTGGATCGTATGTTCAATGAAGATTGAAACTGCAAGCAACACAAAACAGACCACAGCAACAGCCCATGTCGGTGTTTCCTCTAGTGTACGCTCTTTAGCGAGTTCAGCCATTACAACTTAATTCTACTGAAAAAAGCTCGCTACCAAAACGTGCTTTTGCATCCAAAATAATGAGTTGTCTTTGTTATTTATAAGGGAAAATTTGTCTGCAGAAGGGAAACGGTAAGGACAAAAAATTCAAGATTTCTTTTAAGACTTTTTCAAATGAGTGTAGCATTAGTCAGTCTCTGTGAATGTGTGCCAGCTTTATCTCCAAGTACTTAACAAAATTACGTAAATAAATATAAATCAGCAAACTTTAACTTGGAGATACTTGGCATGCAAATTTAGAAACATTTCTCAGAAGATCGGATTTGTTAGAAATTATGATTGACTGGACTTAACATGTGTAAGGAATACGACGGATTTGAAAAGAACACGCAAATTCCTCATTTTTCTCGATGTGGAATTTATCATCTCAACTGAATTTTGTATTAATAAAATGTTGATTCATTTGGTTATTAACATGTTATCTATCAATATTATTAACAGCTTGTTAACATTATGTTGAAAATCCAACTTTCTTTTTAGAGAATTTTTATTTTTTAAATATATAATATTTCCATATCTTTGGAATTAGAAATTGACCAAATCCCAAAATGGCATGGTCAAAATGGCTATTACGTGTTCATCATATATTTTTGTTGTACTTTTGAACTGCGGGTCAATCACAAAGAAGATGGACATGTGGCGGGGAGAGAGCTCCAGATTATTCCTCTTACAAACTATTAACTTAAAAGATACAAAGGGTATTTTCAGTTACGTACAACGTCAAAATTCAAGTAAAAAAATTGTGATCTTTTTATGGTCAATCGTTATTTTGGTAAGAAAAAAACTCGTTGAGAGTCTATATATTAACCAGGAAGTCCAGAGGGGATAAGAGCAAACTCATTCGACGCAATCAATCGTGACCACGCAAGTGGTTCATGATGTTTGGTATATCAGACAAAATTAATCTTAAGGGCCAAAGGGTTACCTAATTTGCAGTCAATATTTGAGCTGCATAAAATTAGTTAAAAGCTGAGAAATATCAGAGGGTTTTATGTGTGGTTCTCGTTGTGGCAAACCAAACAAGGATCTTGGTCTTAAAGTCTAAGGGGGCAAATGTAAAGAGGCATGGGTCATATGTTGTGGACTGCTCATAATTTTGAAGAAAATATATGAATATCCTTTCCCAGAACTTTCAATGTCCTTGAATTTAGTTGCTGGGCCTGGTCGTTGGCATTAAAGAAAACTAACCATCAACTGAGCTTTATGCATGTCGATCAAGGTTACCGCCACCACCTAATGGATCATACTTATCAACAAACCTATCACATATGTTATTGCATTGTAAAGATATAAACACCATGGTTGAAATTAACAATTGAGAAGCTAGTTATTTGGGATTTCTTTTCCAATCCAATTGTATGGACGTTCTCTTATCTTAACGTTAATGTCTAGTTTTCATCTTAACCGACAAAGTTGTAATGTTTTTCCCTTTGACAGGCAATTAGCATTCATTTCTTGCATAGGTTTTAGAGTTTTAACTCTCGGACTTTAGGTTTTATTTTTCATCATTTCAACCCTCAAAAGTTTGTTTTAAAACTAAATAAATCCCAGATTTCATTGTTACATGCAGACTGTCGTCCACTTTGATGCAACCCATTCTTTTTCAGACTTTGCCAATCCAGCATTAAACTCATGCACTATTATAAGCAAGTAGTGCAAGTTTCATATACTTCAACCTCCTTTAGTAGCTTTCTGTGTAATAAAAAAACTGCACTAACACCATGTTGGAGTATAAGATCTCACATCGAGCATATGATAATTAAAATAATATACAATTAATATATAGGAGCTTTCACACCTAATATCACCGAAGGTTTTGTAAAAATCAAACATTTAATAATTGATTGTTAAGTTGGGACAATATTGATAACCTTGGTGACCATAGGCCTAAATGGTTTATCACCTCAAAAGGCAGTGAGGTGGCAGTGAGGTAGGAAAAGAAAGGAAATGGTTCAAAAAGTTTATCACCTCGAAAGGCAGTGAGGCAGGGAAAGAAAGGAAATGATATACATTGGCAATGGCATCAAATAAAAGTAAAATCCATCTTTGCGAAATTTAAAAAGTCTGCAAAAACACAGGAAATTTGAGACCTCTCCAATTTCCCCCATACACTGAAAAAACAACTGAATTGTCCCATCTTTAGAGCACACCTAAGAACAAGATTTCGAATAACCAGTAAAAGATAGAGTTTCTTTCAACTAATAAAGCTGTTCTCTTCTGTGGTGCCACCATCTCCACCTGCATAAATATATAAAAATAAAAAAAATAAATCACCAAAAGCAATATTGCTTGGCAACTTAAAAGAGAAGGTCGATAGCTTTAAGTGGGGCTGCATTTTTAAAGCTGTCTTGATAAACACTTTAGACCTAAAACTTAACAAATTTTAGAATTACACATCTTTTTCAGCCCCAATTTGATGGAGTTTTTTTTTTTATTATTATTGGCAACTAAAGTTCCTTTTGGAAACTTAGAACTTTTTTCATAATTTTCACATTAATATTTGTAATCTTCAAAAACAAAAGGAAAAGCCCAATTATTACGAGTTTGGTGGAAGAGTGCTATTAACTCGTAGGGTTACGGTTTTTTGTCGGACTTAGTTACCTAAATCTAAGTCATGTATTCAAATAAAAATTAGCATAATCAATTATTCAAATTCAGGGCCTCGCAATGTATATATATTATATGCACTTAACTCTAAACTCACCAGTGTTTGTTCAAAAAAAAAAAAACACTCTAAACTCACCAGTGGTAATCCCATCGGGGACGAACTTTGCTCATCCGGTTTTGACCATACGGGTGATCTGTTTCAGCTCGTTGTGTGTTTCGGAAAGCACAGCAACCGATTGAATATACTCCAATTAGGACCACAAGCACGACAATGTTCAACACAGAGAGCTTGTGCCAGTCCCTCTTGATATCTTCAAGAACTCCAGCTTTGCACGAATCACACTCGTAACATAACATATTAGGCGCATTATTCCACCGGTAGCAATCTTGGTCTTGACTCACTGTAGTTACCATGTTGTAATTGCACAAAGTTGGGGGCTTGCAACAACCAGACTGCATATATGCACCCAAATTATAACTTAATTACTCCAAGCTTTAAATAGACCCAAAATTATTTAATTAATTATTACAAGCTTAAAGCTTTAACACCAAAAAGAAAAGCTATTTCTATAAATTTTCATTCTTTTGCTAAGAAATACGATCTTAAACATGAGAAACGTATTTCATTAATTAAGTTTAAATCTTCAAAATCAGCTAAACAAAATCAGTTCGTATTGCTTTGTTTTCTTTAGATGAATTAAACTGTGATTCTCTCTTAAAAAAAAACTGTATATGATTTCATATTTTTATATTCTAATTATTCTTCAACCCTAAATCCTACCTTTTCTTTTAACAAACGACCACACTAAGGGGGTGGGGTGGGAGAGTGGGTGCAATAATATAGTTCAAATTCGTTTTAGTGAGAATCGAACCTAAAACCTCTCACTTACCAATGAAGAGGAATATCATATTAGACCGTAGTACTAAGTGGCAACCCTAAATCCTACGTAAAACAATGTCCTTAATTAATTTAGAATAAATAAATAAGCTATTATTAAGAATAAATATATAAATAAAGGAAACAAGCATTAACAATTTTATTGCTATTGAGAAACAAATAAATAAATAATAAAACATGAACCAAAGTTGAAGAAAAATATCTTGCAATTGATGTTAATTGTACATAGTAGGTGTGGAAAAACATAATCCAAAAGAATTTGAGTAGCCAGCAATTGAAGATTACCATTTAACAAATATATATATGTGTGTGTGTGTGTCTGTGTGTATGTATATGTGTATACATATGCACTTAAATTACCTGTATTGGAGACATGTCTCTTTCAAGATAATCAAGAGGTGTCCAAGCAATAAGCTCAGCACAAGTTTTAGACCCCAAGATGCAACTCCTAATCTTACTCCAATAATTAGGATCGTTAACCCTATTCCTTAACCATGGTGAGTAATACTCAAGGTGGTACTCCTTATAAACCCTACCAGGCACCTCCACTCCAGCACCTTGGCTTGTAACCACAAACCCAAACACTGTCAAACCCATTAGGGTTGCAATAATCAGCAGCATCACCACCAAGTACACCCAGAGTGCCCAGGCCACATGGAAGCAGGCACCAATAAACCCAGCTAGGGATACTATGAGCACCACAAAACCCACCACCAAAAGTGGGGTTTGGAGGAAAGTTTCACATGTGGTGCTGCTCCTTGCCATCCATAGACCTCCGGCGATTATTGGTATTGATGCTAAGAGACTGAAGAGGTTCAAGAACCCAATCACTGTGTTGCTGAACCTGTACATCTCTCTCTCTCTCTCTCTCTGCACAATCTTTTTGTGTGTTCTTCTTGTGTGTTTGTGTATTAGTACTCTGGTATCTTTCACTTTAAATGGGTGGAAATGGCATTGCCTTGCTTTGTGTTTGGTGCAGGAAAAGCTTCAACAATTCAAAATGCTTATCCCAATTGCACTATTTGCTTTCCATATATATATTTATGTATTCATAAACTTTAATTAGTTATTGACTAAAGTGTCCTTCTAGTGTTTGGTTTGGCATGAGTACACCGTCATTGTAGTGTCACTTGTCCAGTAACATCATGTTAAGAGAATTTATTCTTGTATCATTGACACTAAACGTTACGAGCCTACGATAGCGCTATACAGGTGTCATTGAAGTTGCTCTCCAATCTTCTAAGTAACACATAGCTGATGTGTTGAAGAGGAATCAGTTCATTATACAGTGTCCAACGGCAAGCAAGGAATATATCTAATTATGCATTGGGGTAATTACAGAATGTTGTGCATGTCACGAGTGAGGTGCTTTTGCTTTTGTGTGGTGCATGGGACCCCCTTTGAGCTTCTTTTTGAAGCATGATCACATTGATCTGAAGCAGGATTAGGCAGGCCACGCCATGACTTTGGCGCCATGGAATATAATATTAGAATATTAATCAGAATACTAATCAGAATATTAATCAGAAAATAAAGGAAGGGGATTTGCTCTCTTCTTATCCTCTAGTTATTCAACGTTTTTGT